CAAGGGATGAACAAGAAACCCAGCACTCTGCCATTTCCAGAACCTTCATCTTGTCCCTTGGAGAAGTAAATCAGGCTACCATGTGTTTTCTCTACCCCACCACCTCTTGGTTGGATCCTTCGGCCACTCCTAAGGCTGCTCTCTGAACCCCAAAAGACAACCTGTGAGAATCTGGTAACCTGAACTCACACAAAGAAACCCCATGGAAGCCAGGGGGTGGCGCATGCCTTTAATCCCAGCACTCAGGAGGCAGAGGCAGGCGGATTTCTATGAGTTCGAGGCCAGCTTGGTCTACAGAGTGAGTTCCAGGACAGCCAGGGCTACACAGAGAAACCTTGTCTCGAAAAACAAAGCCAAAAATAAATAAGTAAGTGTAATTAAAGCATTTTTCTCGGCCGGGCGGTGGTGGCCCACACCTTTACTCTCAGCACTCGGGAGGCAGAGCCAGGCAGATCTCTGTGAGATCAAGGACAGCCTGGTCTACAGAGCGAGATCCAGGACAGGCACCAAAACTACACAGAGAAACCCTGTCACAAGAGAGAGAGAGAGAGAGAGAGAGAGAGAGAGAGAGAGAGAGAGAGAGAGAGAGAGAGAGAAACTCCATGGACTGACTGACTCTCACTTCTCCCAAAGCCAAGTATACCTTAGCACTCACACAATCTGTCCCACCCTTCCACAGATGAAGGCAAGATAAATGCCCAGCCTCCTAGAACGTTCCACCACCTGCCTCAGGCAGGAATCTCCCCCTGCCTGTCTTGCTCTGACTGTGGCTGAAGAAATCTCTTCACGGTTGTCCAAGTGAACCAAGGCTTCTGTCTCCCTACCCGGAGCCTTGCCCAGCATCACCTCCCATCAACTATCACTTGGGGCTCAATGCCAAGGTGGAGGGCAGCCAGGTTGGAGGGCAGCCAGGAAGAAACAACACCAGTCTTTCATCCTGGCCAAGGCAACTCACGAAGCCATCCTGGGGGCTCCAGGGGAAGGGGGAAGTCACGGTTCTGGCCCGGTGAGCTTGGCAGGAACCCGGCAGAAGGTTGCCAGACACAAGATCTTTGCTAGTAAGACACAGAACAGAGGGCTCAGCCAGATAATGGGTCCTTCTGCTCAGGTTTCGCTCTGAGACAACAGCCCCCTCAGGCGGAGAGCCCCACCCCAGGGCCCACCCTATGTGTCATCTCGGCCCCTCCCCAGTGCCCTCTGCACCGGCCCTAACACTCAACCGGATGTGCAGTCCCATCCCCCAGGAGGGTCACCCTGGCCTTAGCACAGCTCCCATTTCCTGCCCCTGGTGACTCCTCTGAAGTCTATTGTTCCCATTGAGTTTGGGTCAAAGGAAGCTGGGTCCCCACCCATGGGGGCCTGCCTGCCCACCCTGGCCTAAATCAGAGAGCAGCAGGCCCATCCTCCTACCTTTCTGGAAGCTGGCCTGTGTTACAAGCAAACAGAGGGCACAGAACTTCTTGGCCTGAGGTTCTGGTGGGAAATTTCCCACAGATCCTGTCCCACCAGCTGAGGGCCCCAGGGACAACCACACAGGTGTGACTAGACTCTCCCCAACACACAACCTTAAAAACTGGCGCGGAGAAAACTACCATTTCAGAGGTCAAGGCAACTCTGGAGATGGAGACTCCACACTCCCTGTGAGGTGGCCTGCCCTATCCCAGCCTCCACCTGGGCCCCTGAGCCTGGTGACACCCCCGCCCTCAGGGTGCTGGGGAGCAGCTGTTCAGCTCCAATTTCAGAGCCTTAAACAGAGCTGCCTGCCGGTCCCACTTCTGCCAACAAAGGGTCAAGGGGGCAAAGAGGTAAAGCCACCCCCAGGAGCCCTGAATTTCCAACTGCCACCAGACCAGCCTCAACTACAGGAAGGGTAAGGGCCACAGTCAGGGACCAGTGTCTTCTACCTCCCCTGAGAAGGAGGAGACACAAGTTTGGCAATAGTTATTGCTTTGTGACAGTCACCAGCACAAGACTACAGAATGGAGGCCAAAGGAGGCTGTGACATTTGCATCCTGGGAGATGGAAGAGATAGAGCTGGGGTTGGAAGCTCGGTGGGGGAGCAGAGTACTCAGCAAACCTGAGGCTCTGGGCTCATTCCTAGAACCAAAAAGCAAAATGACTGAGTGGATGGATGCATAGATAGATAGATAGATAGATAGATAGATAAACAGACAGACAGACAGATAGACAGAGATGGATGGATGGATGGATGGATGGATGGATGGACGGACAGACAGCTAGATGAGGAGATACACACATACATACATACTTCCCCCCACCTGGTAGAGTAATACTTAGACCTCTAGAGGAAGGAGAGTATATCAGAAATATTAGAAGGCTCTCCCGGGGTCCTCCCAGACTGGCATGCTTATATCCTACTATAAAGTAGTTAGCTATATACTTTCTTCTCGGATGCAGGAGAAAATGCCTGACTGCAACCATTTTCCTGCATCACAAGATGGTAGGTACCACCCAAGTCAGACTGTTACAGTCTCCATACCGGATGGACCAAAGTTAGCTAGGGTGTGGGGGCCCAGATATTGGGATCCACAAATCCTGAGACAGACTTCAACGTGAAAAGCTTGAGTTTCAGTCCCAGCTCTGCCACTCCGGGCATGTGCAATTCTAAACATTTGGTGGTCCCTCCCGAGGCCTCAGTTTCCCCACAAAGGGGCTGGACATTGACAGAGGGTGCAACAGTACCCAAGAGGGTACCAGTGCTCAGCAAATTCACCCTGAGGGCAAGGCAAAATGGAAATGAGAATATGAGAGCTGGAGAATGACGTTACCTGGTAGCAAAGGAAGGCCTCCCCCCGGCACTGGACCCACAGCAAATGTTCAATTCATGTTGGCAAAATAAACATGATGAACAGGGTGGGGTTTCCTAAGGGGGATTCAGAGAAACAGTCATTCAAAACCCTCTAGTTTCAAGTGTTATTAAGACCCTGGATTCGACCCTCAGCAAGCTTGGGGAAACATAAGCTACACCATTTCCAAGGGCCCTGGGGTATGCTACCAGGTGCTTTGCAAACACTGAGTTGTCAGAGCAAGTTTTCTGCACGGGTATTAGTTACTCACCCTCCCACCCCATCCACTCCGGCCCCAGCCCCTTACCCCCACCCCCACCATGTTACTCATCAGGAAACTGAGCCCAAAAGCCTTAAAGGTAATGAGTGAGTGTCCTGCCCCGGTCTATCTGACCCCCTATGCCTGTGCATTTTCCACCACAGGAGAGCTGTTTTTGTAAATCAGCAGTACACATGGCCTGAGTGGTTAGGAATATGAGGTATTTCCCAGCAGACCATCTAATCTACAACAGCAGGATAGACGGGAAGAAACACACAAGAGGCCCCACTCCTGACACAGTTTTCTGTTCCTTCCTTCCAAGAAACTCTAGCCGTCATCTCTCTGTTGTGTTAATGAGAGAGAACTCTGATGCCAAGTCTGTCTGTGACACTCACACCACGCTCCTGTCAATATCCTGGACCCAGCTAACAAGTCCAAGGCAGCCCTCGCCTTCCAGACTGTCGCTGAAGCATTCACGCAGTGAGATGCTCAAGTCTCCACCCCAGAAACGAGGTAGTGTAGCAAGGTGTGAAGAGTGAGGGAGTAATCCCAACGCTCTGGAAGCTGAGGCAGGAGATCACCCAATTTGAACCCAGCCTGGGTTACAGAGCAAGGCCCTGACTGTTAAGGAATAGTCAGGTCTGATAGTCTACTAAGGAAGGAGAGATTATTCCACCAGTGGGTCCAAGGAGAGGCGAACCCCGAGATGTAGTTCAGACCCGTAAACATGGACACTCTTTTGTCCTTGAGGCCAACTTAGAAACACTATCAGCATCCCAACATCCCACATGGTCAACTAAGCCTGGTGACTCAGGCCTGTAATCCCAGCAGGCTGAGGTAGGTAACTGCCTTTTGAGTCTGTCTCAAAAAAGAGTTGATTTTTTTGTTGTTGCTTTTTTTTTTTTTTTTTTTTTTTTTTGATGAAAGCCACCTTATGCTAGGGTAGTAATACCAGGCCAGGCTAGACTAGACTTCGGTCCCAAAAGAAAACAATCTAAGAAGGTCTCTTCCTTTTAGGGGGTCCACCCCCACAAACATTCCCCCAAACCCATCCTATCCTCTAAAGGCAAAGACCTCAGCTTTGCCTAGCCTTCCAGCAGTTCTCTAAACTATTCCGCTAGAACAGGATCCACTCTCCCTCAGAAAGACAGCTGCCTGGAAGGGGGGCAGGTGTAGGCAGCTTCCTGCCAGCTCTGCCCAACCCAGCAGGGATGGAGTGGGGGCGGGGGGGGCACCTCCAACTACTACTGTCAATTTTTCTCCCTGCACACAAAGAACTTGGAGACACTGTCTCCTGCTCCGGTTCTGCAGGAAGAAGTCAGAGCCAGAACCAACATCCTCAGAGCGAGGACAGTCTTGGGGAGGAGGCATCACACACCCACTTCGACACTCAGGGTTTCAGACAGCACTCTCTTCAAGGTGTACTGTAGTACAATGTACACACTGTCACGTTCAGCACAAACAAATGCACCTACTGAAAGCAAGGTGAGTCACCGCGCACAGATCTCTCTCTCCCTCAGGAACACCCAAAACTTAAGGATGCTGACACAGTAAGACCTCGCTAGAACTCACTCACAGAATCGGAGCGTGTGTGCACCGCGGCGCGACCCTGGGCTGCTTGCTAGGGTATAGCGCCTTGGAGTTTGGGGAGCTCACTCCTCAGCATGGGGAGCAACAGGGTCTCAAACCCCGGAGACCTCTGCAAAAGCTCCTAGCAATACACTTCCCTCCTGGGCTCGCTTCTCCAGGACGAAAAGTAGAAAAGGCCCTGGCTGGGGCTCTTAAATCGCCTATTTCTGATACTTCAACCCAGGCGACCCTGCTCTGCCCAGCCCCTGGGCTCCACCGCCCGCACGTGCCCCGCGGGTTCTGCCCGGTAGTGCTGCCCGGGACCACGAGGGGACACCGAGATCCTCCGAACTCAGCAACCTTACCGATCCCAGAGTGCGGGAGGCGGGGTGGGAGCGCTCGGCCGGCTGCAGCAGGTCCGCGCGGGGCGCCGAGTCTTCCAGCCGCGGCGACGGCTGCGGGGCCGGGGCGCGGAGCTGCGGCGGTCCCCACCCCCGGGGCCGGAGTTTGCAAAGGAGCCCGGCAGGAATGCGCGGAATGGGCGCTGGAATGAGACGCGCGCGGCTGGGGAGGGAGCGGAGGGAGTGGCGCTGCCACCCTCACCTCGGGGAGGAGACCCGGCCGGAGAGGGGCCGGGCTGCGCGGCGGGGCGGAGCCCAGGGGACCGCGGGCAAGCACGGGACCAGGCACAGCCCAGAAAACCCGGGGTCCCTCGGCGCCTCTGCGGCTCGCGCCTACTCGCCTAGGCTCTGATCTACCGATTTCCCGCTCTCATCCAGCTCCCCACATCCCCCGGTGGCGTTGAGTCCCTAGCTGTCCCACCACCACTTCCAGCTGAAAACCGTCCCCTCCGCCGGGGTGGGGCGCGCCTCGCTGCGCTCCTGGAAGGACGCGGTCGCGAGCAGGAAGGGCTGTTCCCTTCCCCGAGGCTGCTACCGAGGACTCTCGCTCCGGGAGCAGGAAGCAGGAACTCCCGGCTCTGCTCCCAGATCCGCCACCGCTTTCCCTCTCCAGCCCTCCCCAATACTGGCCCTTTCAGTTCTCTTGGTGTCCCTCGGGATCTGCAAAACTGTCACTCAGAAAGCAGGGAAAGGGGAGACCCGTCATGGGCTCGGTTGTAACTCCCTGAATTTTTATCCTGTTAATAGGTTCACCGGATGCTGCGAGAATAATAAGGATATAGGGTCTCCGCAGGGGTTCACAGAGAGCTGGAACTGACTGGGGACCCAGGATACAGGACAGCGTCGCCATGAAGTTAGAAGTCCCGGTGTTACAGAAACGTGTCAAATCAACTTAGGAGAAACACGTGGGCTTGGGCTGAGTAATCTTTATAACAACTTGGCTTAAAGCAGTTACAGTTACTACGTAGCTCTAGCACCCACCTTGTCATTTTGGGAGACTTAAAACCAAAGAAAAGATTTGGCTATTTCCAAAAATCAAACAATCTCTGGAACATTATCATTTAGTTTTTATTGCTGTGGCTCTCCCTGTCTGATCTCCTTGGCCAAACAGAAAACCCTTGAAGGCAGTAAATTGCCGGATTTATCTTATCTTTTGCGAACACTAACAACATAAGATGGAGCTATACGTAATAAATGAGAGGAGGGTAGCATGGGAAATGTTGGAAAGAAAGTGTTGTAAATGCCGCGGCTGTACCCAAGAGAGGTGGTCCAAAGAGTCTGCGGAAATGCCGGCATCACGGGGCTAAGCAGCATCCAGCCTTACAAAGTGAAGACTTTGAAGGAAGCAGCCCTCATTTGGATATATAAATGCTGGTATGCTTATTAAACAATGAGTCATAACAAAGCCTGGTCACATCCCATTCACGCTGAAAAGAGCAGCGCAAAGCAGTGTATCTGTGAGCGGGAAGTGCAAACTGTGCTGCCACTTAACTCACCAAACCTTTGTGGAGTGTTTGTTGACTCTGGCACCAAACTGAGTGCAGAAACGGGCCCTCTGCCCTCAAGAAGTTCACCGTCGAAGCAAGACCGTCATTCAATAACGCAACGTCCAGCATGAATTCAAGAGTGGAATTCAAGGCACAGGGTGGCTTTTCTCAGTGTGAGGTTCACTCAGGGCCCTGTGTATGCTAGGCAAATGCTCTACCACCATGCTGTGGCCCCAGCTTAATTTGTTTTGGTGTTTAAGACTGTGTCTATTGAGTTACTCAGACTGACCTTGAACTCTGTAGCCCTGGCGTGCCTTGAACTGGTCAATTCTCCTGCCTCAGCCATGGGAATAGCTGGAATTACAGTACAGGTCTTTGCTACCAGGTCTGTGAGGTGACCTCAATCCAGATCTTAAAGGACACATGAGTTTGCCAAGTGGTTTTTCAGGAATGTTTGATGTGAAAAATTAAGAGCAAAACAAGCAGTAGGGTGTGGTGGCCCACACCTGAAATCCTAGCTCGAGGGAGAATGAAGCTTAAGACCAGCCTGGACCAAAGAGTAAGAGAAGTGGGCTCCAGGCTGTGCTGAAGACGTGGCTGTCATGAAGGCCACTTAGACCCAGGTGTGACTTACTTGGTGTATCATTAGACTCTCAGACAACAGTCTGGAACATCATGTGGAGACTCCTGTCCTGTCCTAAACACACGCAGTGACCCTGAGACTGAACAGAGAGCCTCGGGATCTGGAAATAAAAGTAAATCCATGTGTGATCTGTGACTAGAGGTTGTCCTTTAAGCTGATAGAGAAACTGCTACAGCTGGCCAGCTGACCACGTCACACTTAAGTAGGCGCTCTGGCCAGCGGTGGTGTGGTGATGTGGTGGCAAGGGCCTGAGAAGGTCAAAGCAGGGAGATCAAGCATTTGGGGCCAGCCTGGACTATACTGCAAAACTCTGTCTCAAAAATAAAATATGATTAGTTAATTTGAACTACAGGGAAACAGGACACTGTGGAAGGGGAATCTGGCCAGGACAGTGTGGGGTGCAGGCAGGAGAACAGCCCTTCACAGGCAGCACAGAGGAGGATGCTTGGAGATCCCTCTGCTTGCTTGCTTCTCTTCAAGATCATCGGGGATCCAAGCTGGGAAAGTGTGTCTTCTAGCTTCCTAGTTCCTACCCTTACAGGATTCTAGAGAGTTCTAGGTCTTTGGGAATTCTACTTTCTGAGCAGATGAGGACCATCTCAGAACACTTTCTGCTAAAGAAAACTAATCAGGTGCACCCATTCTGAGGGGCTGGTGGCTGGCAGTGATTTTTTTTTTAATTGATGTGAATGTGTGTGTGCCTGCATGCACTCAGACACCACTCTAGGCCAGAGGACGTCAAATTCCCCTGGAGCTGGAGTTATAAGTGATGGTGTGAGCTGCCTGATGTGGGTGCTGGGAGCCAAACCCCAGGTCCTCTACAAGAATACTAAATAACCACTGAGCCATCTTTCCATCCCCCACAGGGACTTTACAGAAGTAGTCTGCTCTGCTTAGAAGACAGGACCTCCATTTCACTGACCCGCAGGACTGAATCTGCTGGTGGGAATGTTTATTTTAGCTGTTTACATCCAGCTGGAAGACACAGAGCTCTTCCTATTACATCAAATGGCCCATGACTTGCCTCATTTACTGGCGCTCCAGACCGACAAGTGGGTGGAGGCCAAAGGCAAGGTGGTTGTGGTCAGAGCTGGTTTTGATGTGGAGAGGGTATTTGTGTTGATTAGGCCCCAAGTCAAACTTTAAAACCATATTAATTAGTGTTACCATATGCTGTTTGGTATTATTTCCATTCCTGTAATAAACTCTGTTTTTTTAACCCACTTCGGCCATAATCAAAATTTTTGTAAGGATCCTTTATTGAACAAATTCACTCACATCTATGTGATGAAATTGGTCGAAGCTGCTAGGAACAGGGATATTTAAAATTTGTAGTATTTTCTTTAGTGTTTTCTGTTTCTTTGTTTGGTTCTGAAGATCAAACCCAGGGCCTGACCTGACATATACTCTAACACTGAGCTACACTCGTTCCTACACTATGATATTTTAAATAAACCAGATAGCCGTGATTTACTACATGAAAAGGGCATATTCTCTCTCTCTTTTCCTAGGGTTTTGTTTTTTGGTTTTTTTGTTTTGTTTTGTTTTGTTTTTGAGACTGGGTTTCTCTGCATAGCCCTGGCTGTCCTAGAACTCACTCTGTAGACCAGGCTGGCCTTGAACTCTCAGAGATCCAACTGCCTCTGCTCCCAAGTGCTGGAATTAAAGGCGTGCACCACCACTGGGCCAGATTCTCAGAGTAGTGTGCACAGGTTGATTCCAGAAGGTTTGGGGCTTTTTGTCATTGTTGTTGTTATTTATTTTTTTAAGGATTTGTTTCTGGAAACAAATATATATTATATATTTGTATATATACATACACATATACATATATACATACATATATGTGTGCATATACATATATACATATACATATGCACATATACATATATATTAGAGAGAGAAGAGAGAGAGAGAGAGAGAGAGAGAGAGAGAGAGAGAGAGAGAGAGAGAGAAGGGATTTGTTAGAATGACTTACAGGCTGTGGTCCAGCTAATCCAATAATGGTTGCCTATGAATGGAAGGTCCAAGAATCCAGTAGTTATTCAGTCCATAAGGCTGAATGTCTCAGCTGGTCTTTGGCATACATCAGAATCCCCAGGAAGTAGTATCTAATTCCAGTGAAGGAACAGACTTGCTAGGGGGACAAAAGCAAGCAGACAAAAGGCAAAAACCTTCTTTGGATACTTATATAGGCTTCCAGCAGAAGGCAGGGCCCAGATTAGAGGTATTTCTTCCCACCTCAAAGATTCAGATTAGAGCCAGACAGTGGTGGTGCACGCCTTTAATCCTAGCACTCGGGAGGCAGAGGCAGGTGAATCTTTATGAGTTCATGGCTGGCCTGGTCTACAGAGTGAGTTCCAGGAAAGCCAGAGCTATACAGAGAAACCCTGTCTCAAAAATCCCCCCCCCAAAAAAAAGAAAAAAAAGATTCAGATTACGAGTGGATCTTCCTGCCAGGGTGGGGGCACACATACACCTTTAATCCTAGCACTTGGGAGGCAGAGGCAGGCAGATCTCTGTGAGTTCAAGGCCAGCCTGGTTTACAGGGTGAGTCTAGGGGGCAGAAATGGATCTCCCCAAATCAAATTAAGCAAAAATCCCTCATAGTTGTGACCTATTTTGTTAATTCCAGATGTAGTCAACTTGACAACCAAGAATAGCATCACACCTACTGAGCTACCTCTTCAGCCCCTATGGTTTCTTTTGGTGCCTGGTGGCAGGCAGTGACACACACCTTTAATCCCAGCACTCAGGAGGCAGAGCCAGGCAGATCTCTGTGAGTTCAAGGCCAGCCTGGTCTGCAGAGCAAGATCCAGGACAGGCACCAAAAACTACACAGAGAAATCTTGTCTCAAACAAACAAAAAAAGGTTTCTTTTCATGGCTCAGAAGACAAGCAGCTCATAATTACCTGTAACTACAGCTCCAGGGAGCTCTGGTGCCTCTCTCTCTCTCTCTCTCTCTCTCTCTCTCTCTCTCTCTCCCTCCCTCCCTCCCTCTCTCTCTCTCTCTCTCTCTCTCTCTCTCTCTCTCTCACACACACACACACACACACACACACACATTGATAAAGAAGTTATTTTTAGTTAAAAGAATTCAATAAATGAATCTTTGGGAAATATCAACATTTGAAAGTCCCAGGTTTTTCATGGATTTCGTTATCCGAAGTATTTACTTCAGCTGTTGCTAAGTCACAGCTTATAAGTCTGGAAAGTTTTCCCAGTGACCCAGTTTCTCAAAAACAAGGACAGGCAAGATGGCTCAGTGGTAATAGCAATGCCACCAAGCCTGACCTGAGTTCCAATCATCTCACCAGCCCTGGGTTACTTTTACTATTGCTTCCTCAAAGAGGATGCACCTGGAGGTTTATCTTGGCGATAGAGCATTTGCCTAGCATACACAAAGTCCTGGGTTCCAACACCACGTGCACGCGCACACGCGCACACATACATGCATGCATGCATGCATGCACGCACGCACGCACGCACGCACACAGGGCAGGGGCCTACTAGGCAGAGGGTATATATCAGTGATCTTGGATATACCTAGCTGGCTCAAGGCTGTAGACAGATACCATCCCCAGCACTGAAAATAATAAAATTAATAAGCTCTGGGTGAACTATCTCGGGAGCAGCAGGTCCTAATGGTTAAATTGTTTCCCTCCCCTGTGTACTGAGGAGCAAACCTCCCATACCTCACAACCTGACAGTGTTTAGAG